CTGGTGGGTTTAGTGTTTTTTTTGATCATAATTTTTTCTGGGAGGAGTGAAACTGTCCTGACAGGGTGCTTTCCTGACTTAAGAACCCATCACTTCTTTTAGTATAAATGGTGGGGATATTTTCCCTCATCTTAATTTGCGCAGCATCGTATGACCCAGGTGGGTTTAGCGATTAGTTTTGATAATCTAAATTTGCTGATACTGCTGATGACATGGAATGAATTATGGATATAGCTTGCAGAGTGTGAAAGACTGATTTTGAATGGTTTTAGTTAGTCTTGTGATTATGCTTAATGCACTATTGATAACATCATTATAAATGTTATAGTGTTAGAAATTAAAGCACTAAATACACCATCTGGTTGTGGTGTTATGTAAATAAAATAATGATAACAATCATTTCATTAGACACGTTAGAAATTCTTTTGTATTTTCGAATGTGGGGTGGTAATAGTGTCTGGTAATCCCACAGTCTTTAATCATTTCTTAAACAAATATATAAGATTTCAGCTTGTATGACCAAAATACATTACTGAAAATCCCAAGTGTCTTTTGGAGTCGACATTGAAAGTGAACTGGGAACATGAAGTGGTTTTCATAGTTAATGATGCTTAGATTTTCTTCTGTAAGTTCAAGACTTAATAGTTTGCTAATCCCAGATTCAGTATAATGTATTGTGTATTATATATATATATGTGTATGTACACACACACACACACACACACTTTTTAACACATTGGTCATTTTCCTCTGAGGCAAGGTCTTGCTAGAGGTGCACCTACACTACAGTTGAAAAATTGCAATATATCAACACCCCTCCTTAAGAGTGCAGGCACTGTGTATTTCCCACCTCCAGGACTCAAGTCCGGCTAACTGGTTTCCCTAAATCCCTTCATAAATGTTACTTTGCTTACACTCCAAAAGCACAAAGTCATAAAAATCACTTGTATCCACTCCTATCTAACATTCACCCATGCTTACTGGAAGTCCAAGCCCCTCCCTCCAACCTTTCCTAGGATGACCCCCATTTATATATATATATATATATTATATTTTTATATATATTATATATTTATATTATATATATATATATTATATATATATATATATTATATATATTATTATATGTTATATTATTATATGTATATTTATATATGTATATATATATATGTGTATATATATATATATTGTGTATTTATATATATATATATATATATACAGTGGACCCCGCATAACGATCACCTCCGAATGCGACCAATTATGTAAATTTATTTATTTAAGTGCGTTTGTACGTGTATGTTTGGGGTGTGAAATGGACTAATCTTTCTTCACAATATTCCTTATGGGAACAAATTCGGTCAGTACTGGCACCTGAAAAATACTTCTGGAGTGAAAAAATATCGTTAACCGGGGGTCCACTGTATATATATAATATTTTTATATATATTAATATATATATATATATATATATTATATATTATATAATATATATTAAAATATATATTATATATATACAATTAAGGTCACAGTAAACAGGTGATTTCAGAATATGCAAAACAACCACTCTGAAAAAATAGAGAAATACAGCGCTTTTCGTGCTACTCAAATTATCAAAGTTCCTTGATAATGGAGTAGTCACAAAAACGTTTGGGAAATTTTTCTATTCTTTCAAGTGGTTGTTTTGATATATACATATACATATATATATATTTAAATATATATATTATATATATATATATATATTTTATATAATTTTAAAATTCAATATTAATATATAATTTTTTATTATAATACATATACTTTTTAAAACTATATAATAATATATCAAACCCCCGCCTCGGTGGGAGACGACCAACTTGTTGAAAAAAAAAATTACATACATATATCATGCATATATATACATATATACATACTATAAATACATACATCTACAAACATAAACACATTTCATCTATGTATCGTGTTGTGCAGTATGCCAGAATCTCAAACAAATTATTTTAAAAACAAAATTCTTCGGTGTTTTCTGGACCAATTTTATTTAAAGTGCGTTTAAGGGGTATGCATGTGCTGTGGTAAAATTAAATGGCTTTAATAATTGCCAGATGGCGAGTTTGATTTTATTTTATTTAGCAACACAGTCATTTTCAAAGTCATATGCAAATTTGGCTGAAAAGCATGAGAGTATATTTTAGGCACTCACTTATATGAAGGAATACAGGCGAGAAGCCAGTCTACGCACTTTTCACAATGGTTTTCAGAATACCCAAATAATTGCTTTTGTGATTCCATTGATTAAATGTACTATTATATATTTTATATATAAAAATTTTAAATAATAAATAATATATATATATATAATATATATATAATATATATTATAATATATATATTTAAATATATATATATATAATATATATAATATATATAAAATATATATAAAAAAATATATATATATATAATATATATAAAATTATATATATATATATATATAAATATATATATATATATTTTATAATATATATATATTATATATAAAATATATATATTAATATATATATATATATATATAAATATAAATATATATATAAAAATATATATATATATATATAATATAAATATATATATATATATTATATTTAATTATATATATAAAATATATAATATATATATATATATATAATATATTATATATAAAAATATATATATATATTTTAAATATATAAATATTTATATATATATATATATATATATATATATATTTTTATATATATATATATTAAAATATATATTATATATTTTTATATAAAAATATTTTTTATATATTTTTATATATAAATATATATATATATATAATAAAATATATTATATATATATATATATAAAATATATATAAATATATATATATTATATATATATATTTATATATATTATTTATATAAAATATATATTATATATTTTTAAATATATATATATATATTATAATATATTTTATATATATATATATATATATATATATATATTTATATATGTATATATATGCAAGACAGGCCCTGGATGGTTTAAATCTTTAGCTCATGTACTTTCACACTTCTCAGTGCATCATCAGGAGCTATGCAATCTTGCAAGGCAGCAACTGAAGGGGGTGAGGGAAAGTTTTCTCAAATAGCACAGTGTGGGTCTGTCACCAGCCACAGTCTCTCAGAATGTGTGCCAACGCTTGGTGCCAACCCCGTACCGCGACCATCCCCCTCCCTCCCATATGTGGTAGGAGAGTTTTGAGATGTCAGGTGTTTTGAAATTAGAAGACATAATAGCCAGCCCCAGGCTTTTCCTATGCACTTTCACGAAGGATTGGTAATGGTCGACTTGTGTCTATGCACCAAAACTTTATGCTACGTCAACTGTGAATGGTTATTTAACCTGTTTAGCTGTTATTGTACCATACATAGACAGGTGCACAAGACTGCATGATAACATAGGTAGTGGGGTTAAAGGATATTAGAAGTAGAAAATTTTTATCATAGAAATATTATCAGAATGGTATAGAAGATTCCCAAGTAAGGCATATTAATTTATATCGAGAAGAATTTTAGACAATATTTAGGAATGTAAAGTGATACTTTTGAGTACCCCTGGGAACATTCAAGTACCCCAGAACAGGTCATTTAAATGGACAAAAAGCACATTCATTTCCTTTTATTAATTTAAAAGGTTACACAGAATAATAGCTATCCATGTACATAGTATCAAATGAAAAATGTATTTTCTCGAGTCACATGACCTGTTCTATGCAGCTAGAAAAAGCTTGGGGCTGGCTATTATATCTTTTAATATTATAATACTTGACATCTCAAAATCCTCCTACCCCATATGGGGGGGGGGGACGGTGGTAACGCGGGGTTGGAACAAACCGTTGGCCCACACTCAGAGAGAGACTGTGGCTGGTGACGGACCCGCACTGTGCTATGAGAAAACTTCTCCTCACTCCTTCAGTGGCTGCCTTGCAACATTGCATAGCTCTTGATGATGCACTCAAGTGTGAAAGAACTTGAGCTGAAGATTTCCACCCCCCGTGGATTGTCTTGCATAGTTAAGATCGCCTGTCTGATTGTTTGCACACACAATATAAAATATATATATTATATATATATATATAAAATATATATTATATATATATATTATATATATTTATATATATATATATATATATATATATATATATATAAAATATATATCAGTAAAAAACACCAACTAGCCGGGGGATCGAACCCATGTTGTTTTAGCCCTCCTCATCGTGAGTGAAAATTCACGATGCTCCAACCCACTGGACCATATAGTCCTACAAAGATCACACACCCAGCAGTGCTAGGTGTTGTGCCGTGATCCGAGGACATACGATGGTGTGGGTGCCTCAGAGTTAATTTCATTCTACTCCCTGGGTTCGATCTCCTGGTTAGTCGCAGTGTTGTTAATGATTAAATACCACTCGTTCATGGTTGCAATACTATAGATACTGCTTGTGGAGGCTAGTGCACCAAACGGGGAGTAGAATGAAATTAGCTCTGAAGCACCCACACCATTGTATGTCCTCATATCACGGTACAACACCTCGCTGTGCTAGGTGCGTGATCTTTGTAGGATTGCATGGTCCAGTGGGTTAGAGCATCGTGAATTTTTGCTCACCATGAGGCGGGCTAAAACAACATGGGCTCGATTCCCCGGCTAGTCACAGTGTTCTTATTGATAAAATACCACTCGTTCGTGGTTATAATACTAATTTTATATTATTTTATATATTATATATATAGATATATTTATATATATATATATATTTAATATATAATATTATATATATATATATTTTAAAATTTTATTATTTAGTAAAATATATATATTATATATATATATTAATGTATATATATATATATATTTATATATATATATATTTATATATATATAAAATTTTTATATATATATATTATATATAAATTTTAACACTTCCAATGATGGCAGATCTATGTATTGTACTACATCATATTTTAAGTATAACTTTTGTTCAATATATTAACTTTTCTCTCATTAAAGTAATGTTAAATATCTACATTTTCTTCTTGTCTTCATGGGCCTTCTTAACTATGGCAAGTTTTGAGTGTGGATCTTTGACTGGAAGATGGTCATATGGCGCCTCTCGTGTACCATGAAGCATCAGTGTCCATTCCTTTATCCATCCCTCCTCTGGACCCACACTGTTGATACGAGCCTGTAGGTCACACAAACACTATCCATTAAACTTGAGAATCGTTTAGTTAATGAGCACACCATATAATATTAAACTGATATAGGTCTGAATAATAATGTCGTAAACTAGTGCTTTGCAAATTTGGAATAAAAGAATTATTAACTTTGGTAAAGTTTATAAACGGAACATTTTTTATTTTGTGTCAGTTACTGTTAATATTCATTTAGTAGTTGAACAACCAGATACTCACTTCCAACTTCCAATTACCACGAGGATTCTCGGCCCAAGTGTGAGTAGTCATGAAGGGCCATTTGGTGAAGCCATCTCGACCATCATCATCATTAGGTCGCTTACTTAGAATCATCGATCTGTAAGGGAATGAATAAAAGTAATATATCAGCAAGCTTGAACAGTAATATGTAATAAAATAAGGACTATGATTTCTCACACTAACAAACATTGCAAAATTTCATTAATTCTTCACGAACTTACATCGACTCTATCCGAGAGTCTGCTTGGAGCAGCCGGACCAGGTGATACACACGTTGTAACAATAACCTTCCTTTTACACCTTTTTAATCTTATTTGGTTCGCAGTTTTACCCCTATTGTAGAAAACTGCATCAGTTCTTTTATGAAATCCTGGTACCTCGGCCCATGAAGTATCACGGGCCGAGGTCCCAGAACTCCTATTTATCATACAACTTGTATGATACTTCGAGGCCACGAAATTCTCTTTCCCTCATCAGTTTAATTTTCGAAAAGTCTGTTCTACTATCGACTCCTTGCTGGATCATGATACGAACATTTGGAATGCTTTCACTGATAACTATTCAGTTAGTAACGTCTTTTATCGATGTAGTAAAATCTTTCAGTATTAGCAGGGGTCCCAGTATTTTATCACGAGCTCACCCCTAAAGGAAGATTTGTTGATGCTGGTGAGAAGACCTTCAGCCAAGGAAATGGATCAGATCTCCCTTTCCTTGGATAAAACCTGATTACCTCCAATTCCTCCAGGCGCTGTGTGACCCTTATTGGTTTAATGTTCCTCTCATAACTAACAATAATTGAAGCCCATTCCTAAGGCATACGAGGCAGATTACCACCTTCCGAAAATTTTTTGTATCCGAGACTCTTCAGTGTTGGAGTAAATAACAGCTTTTCTCTTAGTACAAGTAGAACCCTCACCTCCACTAACTTCTACCCTCACACGTCCCTTCTTGCATACAGCTTTAGAACGTGTTTTTAAATGTAAAAATAATATACAAGTCAAAGGCGTACCGTAAGGCTGCGTCCTCAGTACTACCTTGTTCCTTATGCCCATTAATGAATTTGACTCATTTCTTCCCATAAATCTGATCATCATTATGTGTTGATTCGCCAACTCTTGCGCAGGTCACTATCATCGACTCTTAGTGACCACTCTTCTATATCGATCATGCTGCCACTTTACATGGTTTCAAGTTTACTGTTGCTAAAACAAACTTAACTTTCACACGACTCACTATCATTCCATAACACATTTTACTCTTGCATGATTTCCCTATCCCAGTGCTTGATACTGTTAAATATCTTGGACTTCTCTTTGATTGGCAAATGCCATTGAAGCCTCAATTTACTTTCCTAAAAGCTACCAGTCTTGGTTGTCTATTGATTCCCCATTTTTCGTGGGGAACCAATGGACAAATTCTCCTTCTTCATTCAGTTATGATCTTGCCTATGATAATCTACAAATCAAAGAGTATGCTCCCAATTTCCTCAGTTACTTTTAGGAAATATGATGTCACTCAAATCAAAACGACTACGGGATGACAGGCGAGTCTTGAAACTCACAGGCCAGTGTGCTAACCACTGGCCTGTGAGTTGTAGCACTCGTCTGCCATGGGTTCGAGTTCCGCCCATTCTGTGATTTGTTTACATTCGTGTTATTAGGACTTCACGAGTCATGATGCCACTCATTATTGGGGATTACGCTCATGTGACTGCATTTTGATCCTCCCCATCTGAGAACTGTATAATGAACCAAACATCACTGTTAACAACATCGTCATGATGTCCAGTGTCTTTTTTTTTTTTTTGGGTTCACTTCCATGATCTTCACGATGCACTTACAAACAGAATAATTACAGATGTTAGTAGGAATAATCTACTTGCCAATCACATTCATTACACCCCTTTCATCTCCGAGTTCCATCTCTACCATCATCTCTATTTACTATCCGTCTAATCTTACCTCCTGTATACTCCTAGCCCTCACTGGTCTCTGACCATTCCATATTTCGTCTTTAGCACATCCTGCCCTGCAGCGCTACATGATCCTTGTGGGTTTAGCGTCTAGTTTTGATTGTAGTAGTAGTAGTAGTAGTAATAATAATAATAATAATAATAATAATAATAATAATAATATAATAATAAGTGAACAGTATTTAGATAAGGCTAAAGAGGTCTTTGTGGCATTTACGGATTTGGAAAAGGCGTATGACAGGGTGGATAGGGGGGCAATGTGGCAGATGTTGCAGGTGTATGGTGTAGGAGGTAGGTTACTGAAAGCAGTGAAGAGTTTTTACGAGGATAGTGAGGCTCAAGTTAGAGTATGTAGGAAAGAGGGAAATTATTTCCCAGTAAAAGTAGGCCTTAGACAAGGATGTGTGATGTCATCATGGTTGTTTAATATATTTATAGATGGGGTTGTAAGAGAAGTAAATGCGAGGGTCTTGGCAAGAGGCGTAGAGTTAAAAGATAAAGAATCACACATAAAGTGGGAGTTGTCACAGTTGCTCTTTGCTGATGACACTGTGCTCTTGGGAGATTCTGAAGAGAAGTTGCACAGATTGGTGGATGAATTTGGTAGGGTGTGCAAAAGAAGAAAATTAAAAGTGAATACAGGAAATAGTAGGGTTATGAGGATAACAAAAAGACTAGGTGATGAAAGACTGGATATCAGATTGGAGGGAGAGAGTATGGAGGAGGTGAATGTATTCAGATATTTGGGAGTGGACGTGTCAGCAGATGGGTCTATGAAAGATGAGGTGAATCATAGAATTGATGAGGGGAAAAGGGTGAATGGTGCACTTAGGAGTCTGTGGAGACAAAGAACTTTGTCCTTGGAGGCAAAGAGGGGAATGTATGAGAGTATAGTTTTACCAACGCTCTTATATGGGTGTGAAGCATGGGTGATGAATGTTGCAGTGAGGAGAAGGCTGGAGGCAGTGGAGATGTCATGTCTGAGAGCAATGTGTGGTATGAATATAATGCAGAGAATTCGTAGTTTGGAAGTTAGGAGGAGGTGCGGGATTGCCAAAACTGTTGTCCAGAGGGCTTAGGAAGGGTTGTTGAGGTGGTTCGGACATGTAGAGAGAATGGAGCGAAACAGAATGACTTCAAGAGTGTATCAGTCTGTAGTGGAAGGAAGGCGGGGTAGGGGTCGGCCTAGGAAAGGTTGGAGGGAGGGGGTAAAGGAGGTTTTGTGTACGAGGGGCTTGGACTTCCAGCAGGCGTGCGTGAGCGTGTTTGATAGGAGTGAATAGAAACAAATGGTTTTTAATACTTGACGTGCTGTTGGAGTGTGAGCAAAGTAACATTTATGAAGGGGTTCAGGGAAACCGGCAGGCCGGACTTGAGTCCTGGAGATGGGAAGTAAAGTGCCTGCACTCTGAAGGAGGGGTGTTAATGTTGCAGTTTAAAAACTGTAGTGTAAAGCACCCTTCTGGCAAGACAGTGATGGAGTGAATGATGGTGAAAGTTTTTCTTTTTCGGGCCACCCTGCCTTGGTGGGAATCGGCCAGTGTGATAATAAAAAAATAAAACAATAAGGGTGAACGTATAGGAAGGTGCTCCAGGAACAAAGAATTGGTATAACTCTCCCTTTCCTTGGATCGAATCTGATTACCCCTCATTTCCCCGGGCGCTGTGTATCTACGGCTTTTGTTTTCTTTCCATGAATAATATAATAATGATTACTAGACTGTCCTGCCTATCAAAGAGTGCGCAGAATCCCCTATCATCAACCATGACCAGACACGTACACTGACCCCTGGAAATCTCGCTTCTAAAGCAGACTCACAGACTCACTTCATTACTTTCTAACGGATATTAAATAACGAAGTCACACTACCATGGCTGGAACAATGCATAAATAACCCGCACTTAGGAGACATACTTGTGATGTTTCTGTCCGACTTGTTAATGTTCCGATTCCAGGCACTCGGGCCGTAGCCCAAGTCCGACTTGTTTATGATCTGGCTGGACTATAAACAATTCGGACTCGGGCTGTGGCCCGAATGCCAAGAATGGCTCAAATTGAACAGAGTTTTTGAGAGCTGGAATCCTCAGACCAGCGAGAACAACGACCCTAACACCACCTGAACCCAAGTCGTGTTGTACCCCAGCTGTAGGACATCCACCATTATTGTGGCTAACTGCTATACCACTTGTGCTGAAGAAAACTCACCGTGCCCTTGTTATAGGGCTGCTCCCGCCATAGGACTGTAAACATTACTCCACTTGACACGAATGCTCACCGTGCCCCTTTCATAAGACTGAAAACGATACATCACTTGTACAGAACTTGTATAGAACTCCAACACTCCTTCGGGAGCCACTGCTGTGTCACTATATGGAGAAGAGACGGGCAGGATCCGTCCTGGCAAACCTACCTGCACCTATTAGTTTGACGCATCCCGTGATATCATTCGATCCTTCTGCCTAAATGTTTGCACTTACTCTTCGTATATGACTCACGAAATCGTAATGACACGATTGCAAACAAACCATATTTGCCTGCTTGCTAATCTCTATAATCATATATGCCTCTTCCTTTCCCCCAGAGCTCTTCCGCCCCACACTTCCGTGTGTATGGTTGAAGTGGAAGCTCTTGCGCTTCAGCTCTGTCAAACCAAGAAAGTTAGCAGTGTGCACCCTGCCTCTGACGATGTTTTTCAGTCATACACTGATAGACTGGTAAACCCTGAAGATGTCTTTTCATTCGTTTTCCTGCTGTACCACTCCCAGCTTTATACTGTTCCAAAGTCTGTCCAAGATGTCGAGGAAGTGGAGACATTTGACAGCACAGTTGCTTAACTCCAGAGCAGTCCTGCCTCCGAGCATCCGCTGTCAGTCTGAAAGAACCAAGTGGACGTCTTGACTTCTGTCCTCTCTCTTCAAGTGGCGCTTCTTTCCTTCCTTGTATTTCCTGGTGTTACGTCACCCTTCTCTCATGTATCTCTTGTTCGGTGCTTTGCCATCGGCTATGACGTTCCGGGTTTTGATTGAGTACCTCATCACCTTTAAGTGTTTTCTTTCAGTTTGTTATTTCATGTCTGAAGCTATGAGTTTTTAAATGCGGCAGCTAAAGTACATAGACTTTTTTTTACCCCCTTTTGCTCACTCTCAATACCATGTCATTCCTCTCTACTATAGGTTTGCCGTTTCCCCATGAATATAGTAATAGTAATGTAGTAGTGGTAGTAGCAACCAATGCTTCACATTTGCCTGAAACCCACAAGTCATTACCAAAAATTATTACAACAATAAATAGCCTTCATCCCAGAGTTACAAAAGAAAGTTGTGATTAAAAACGAAATGTTAATCCATGCACAGAAACTCACTTTGTTCCCATTGGAGAGATGAGAAAGAGCTCAATGTCGCCGCGTCTGGTAGCATTGAGAGTAATAACTGCTTGAACGTGCTCAAGGAAATTGACCTCCGTATCTGTGCCTGCACACGCGTCTGTTGCTATATCCAACACCACTGACTTATTTACTGATATCATTCTGGAAAAAAAGTAAAGATTTAGCTTTAATGATGGTAATGGTCAAGGGATAGTACAAATAAAAGATGGTACAGATACATACCTCTTTGAAGGTATACCAGGAGAGGATTTCAGGGTCAACGCCCCCCTCCGTCGAGACAAAAAAATTCTCTCGGTGCGAAGTTGAGATTTTTGGTGCATATAATATGGATTTAGTGTTTTTTGCAAATAACAATAACAACAATAATAAATAATAATAATAATAATAATAATAATAATAATAATAATAATATTATTATTATTATTATTATTATTATTATTATTATTATTATTATTATTATTTGAGAGCTGAAGACACTACCACTGAGCCACATTGTTCAAGAGTGGGAATAACGCTAGCAGTTAGGGTCAGCAAATATAGAATGTAATGTCAAGGTATCCCTCACTTGCCCTGGGCATGAAATGTGATACCAGGATATCCCTCACCTGCCCGAGGCATGAAATATGATGCCAGGGTATCCCTTACCTGCCCGAGGCATGAAATGTGATGCCAGGGTATTTCTTACCTGCCCGAGGCATGAAATGTGATGCCAGGGTATTTCTTACCTGCCCCCGGCATGAAATTTGATGCCAGGGTATCCCTCATCTGCCCTGGGCATGAAATGTGATGCCAGGGAATCCTTTACCTACCCTGGGCTTGCAATGTGATGCCAGGGTATCCCTCACCTGCCCGAGGGATGAAATGTGATGCCAGGGTATCCCTCACCTGCCCTGAGTATGAAATGTGATGCCATGATATCCCTCACTTGCCCGAGGCATGAAATGTGATGCCAGGGTATCTCTCAACTGCCCTGGGCATGAAATGTGATGACAGAGTAACCCTCACCAGCCCAGCATATGAAATGTTATGACAGGGCATCCCTCACCCGCCCTGGGTATGCTGGTTTAATTACGAGGTAATTTAAGGACTTGTTAAATTAACGGAGGATGTATACTCAAATGCCTGTGATTGCAGGGGTCGAGTCTCGGCTCCTGGCCCCTAAGAGTGCAAAGCTTCCCTATTTATATTTATCTATGATAGTAAAAATATTACTAGTTGGATTAACAAAGTTGCTGGTCGGCGAAATGTCTCCATAATAAAAGTGTGAATAAATGGTATAGAATATCGACAGGTTGATAAATGAGACACTTCTGCAACATTTCTGTATTCTGGAAACGTTGTCAGCCAGTGGCTTCTTCAGTCCAGTACAGAGAAAACTGGAAGATGAAGAGGAATTTGAGGTAATCCGTCCCTCAGCCTGGAGTTAATGTGGTCAGTTTATCAAGGCTGATGAAGATACCTGTGTTGCACCTGCGTGTAATTCATGTGTTTGTTGGTTTAATAAAGCATTAATATGATATACTAACTTTGGTATATGATAGATGCCAGCCTGGCAGTGGTAGCGAGGCGGGACGGTGACCCAGTCTCTGGCCAGGGCCACCATGGCCCCGGCGTCCAACACTCCAAATCCGAAGAGATGATTGTACTCCAGTCCAACCCCATTCATGTGCCAGGAGAATCTCCGCTTAGCATCGTATAGTGAGTTGCGCTTACTGGTCAGGACTGTGAGGTGTTGTATATCTCGCCACGTCAGGTTGGGGCTTGGGAAAAGAAAATATTGTGCTAGGTAAAATAAAATCTTATAAATAAAAAAATAAAGGCTGGTTAATACTATCCTAACCTCATTTATTTACCCAGAGTATAAATCATTTATAAAAATTGATTAACGTTAGAATTATATCTGTTAGTATATATCTGACTAGTTATCTTATTTGCATTTGAGAATACTGGGTTTGAGATGAGTATCTGGAGTCCACCTACACTATACCTGGAAAACACCTGGAAAGGGTTTCGGGGGGTTAACGTCCCCGCGGCCCTGTCTGTGACCAGGCCTCATGGTGGATCAGGGCCTGATCAACCAGGATGTTACTGTTTTCCGCATGCAACCCTACGTACGAACCACAGCCTGGCTGGTTAGGTACCTGCTTTAGGCGTCTGTCCAGCACCTTCTTGAAGGCAACCAGGGATCTATTGGTAATCCCCCAGTATATGCAGTATATGCTATTCTTAATTAGCTTCACTTTAAATCATTTCTCTGAGCGACTTAAGTGATATATTACCTACACATGTTCATTGTCGGTAATAAATCACATAATAATCATGAAACTAATAATAATAATAATAATAATAATAATAATAATAATAATAATAATAATAATAATAATAATAATAATAATTAGAACGATCAACGAATACATCCTTACAATTCAAAGAAGAACTTTGCTTTGAATTATTCCATTAAATCCCTACTTCTTCATACTACGGTGCTAGAATTATGTCACCTGAGTTAGTCAAGACTCACTTAGCCTCGAGAGCCAGGGCGAACACTCCAGCAGCTTCAGGAGCGGCTGCTGAGGTACCAGAGTGAGTCTTGGTGCACTTGCCGTAGAGATCAGTGGTAGCCTAAGAGAGAGAGAGAGAGGTATGGTAGTCCCATAATTGTGCTTAGATCTGACACCAAGTCACACACAGTTTGCAGCAACGATTTATACACAAGTCATGGAAGAGAAAGGAAAACAGACATGGAATCAGTAAACGGAACATCATAACCCACGTACTTACCACAGACATTAACAGACCAGAAGTTAATACACGCACATACGGAGGGTATGTACAATGAATACACACACATACTAATGGAAAATACAATGAATGCACTCACAGAGGAAATGTAATTAATACACTCACACACTTAGGAAAATACAATAGATACACTTAGGAAAATACAGCAAATACACTCATACAGAGAAAATACAATATATACACTCACATACTGAGAAAATACAATATACACACTCACATAAAATACGTTTTGGCAGAAAAGGATTACTGATAAAAGAAAATAAGAAATAAATCTGCTGATGTATTCAGATTTATAAAATCTTATTGATGAAGAGAGATCTTGATCCATGGAGGTGGAGCTATGCTTCCCATCCTCGGATCAGCCCGGTTTACCTCAGATTTCTCAGATCCTGAGTAACCGCTGCGGGTTTAGAGCTCCCCCTGTATCACAACAATGGAGTTACTGTGGAGGGAGGTACCCGGAAGACGGTGGAGGGCTCTTGATCCGAGGAATTGCATCTATATTCTCTCTTGGATCGGATATGATTTGCCTCCCAGTCCCCAAGAAGCTGTGTGACCTCCCTACGGGTCTAGCGCTTTCCCGTGTATTTAGATTTTATCAAAGCGAATATCTCCCATAAGCGGAAAATATCTCTCACTTTCCACACCATCAATAATAATAATAATAATAATAATAATAATAATAATAATAATAATAATAATAATAATTATTATAATAAACAGTACAGAGAATGTGGGTTATCACAGCCAGCCAGCCAGCCAGCCAGCCAGCTAGCCAGCCAGTCTGCCAGCCAGCCAGCCAGCCAGCCAGCCAGCCAGTCTGCCAGCCAGCCAGCCAGCCAGCCAGCCAGCCAGTCTGCCAGCCAGCCAGCCAGCCAGCCAGCCAGTCTGCCAACCAGCCAGCCAGCCAGCCAGCCAGTCTGCCAGCCAGCCAGCCAGCCAGCCAGCCAGCCAGCCAGCCAGTCTGCCAGCCAGCCAGCCAGTCTGCCAGCCAGCCAGCCAGTCTGCCAGCCAGCCAGCCAGCCAGTCTGCCAGCCAGCCAGCCAGAGGAAGGAAACTCTGAAAGATCTGTGGACAAAAACAGCAGATCAAGACTTTTGCTTAAATTTATGAAAAAAATAAATGAAGTGTGAAGGAGAGAGCATTAAGAATGAAGGGTGAAAATAATAACAGAACAAGAAGAGAAAAAACTGGGATAAAGTGTGAAGTTAGAGAGTGATAATAAAAGTTGAATTACAGAAAACGTGTTACGTTAAAAAAACACATGTGTAACTAATGTGGCATTTTATTGTGGCAACGTTTCGCTCTCCAGGAGCTTTGTTGTCGAGGCTTGACAACATAGCTCCTGGAGAGCGAAACGTTGCACATGTGCCCCTTTACCTAGAAAGTTAGAAATGATTTGCAAGAGGATATTCTGGATGCTGCGATTTTAATCAAACGTCCACCAACTGGAATATAAAATAATGTAAAGTACAGAGGTGATGGAGATACTAATGAATTAAAAAAAAAAGAATCTGACGAGGTAGTAGAGACGAACTAAGTTATCCATTCTGGAAAATCTTTGGCACGTCACTACACGATCATAAACCAACAGGCAAATGGAGGATGGCACAAAATCTGCCACAATATTTGAAAACATTGAGGATCTGCCAAACTACTGACTTGCTAACTAAATGTTACAATACGCAAATAACCCGCACATAGGAGAGAGGAGCTTAAGACGATGTTTCGGTCCAAGTCTGACCGAAACGACGTGGTAAGTTCCTCTCTCTTACACGAGGGTTATTTGTGTATTGTTCCACGGTATTGTGACGGTTTAGTCTTTAACTAATACTACGAAATTACCAGAAAAAGTCAACAGGTTAAGAATAAAATATTTAAGCTTTCAATTCAATTCCTATATATCAGATCAATTTAGCTACTACGATACAGTTGCGTAAATAAGGAGATGGATGGACGGGTTATGTAGACAAGCTAGAATAAAGTCCAAAGCAAAAATAAGAAGCAAAACAGAGGGAAGACAAACAAGTTACGCAAAGGGCTTTAATGCAGAGGATGTGCCATGTTTGACTGACATGAGAAAGAGAGGAGACCTGAAACTCACGTTTAAGATTATAAACAGATACGAGAAAATTAACAGTGATGGCTTTATAGCCTCCTCAACTAGCAGTGAAAGATAACTATGATCCAGGGGAGGAAGGTTGCCGAAAGGATGCTAGAAAATGTCTCTTCTCAAACACTGTTAGAATAGAATGGTACAGACTGATGGATATGAGATGCATAAAAACTCTGCTCGTAACAACGAATAGGTAAATACAAAAGGCAACAAAGTATTAAGAAACACTCGAAGATATAGAGGATTGGGTATGTCAGATTTCCTCAGGAAGTGATGTTAATGAAGGGGAGGAGGTGCATCTTGTGTCCACAAAAATATATATGGTGGTCTGCGTCTTTCTACATGCGTCTTGATTCGTTCACTATTTAGATAAGCCATGTGCAGCAGTTAGGTATCGTTATACCAAAACGTTTCGCCTCTACAGTAGGCTTCTTCAGTTGACGACAGTCAGCAGTAGAGACCTAAAGACGAAGTAATCAATCCGTCACCATTGAAGACGTAATTTAGAGGTAGTCAGTCCTTCAGCCCGGAGAAAAGCTTTGCTCTGTACTTAACTGAAAAAGCCTGCTGTGTAGGCGAAACGTTTCAGTGTAAAGATACCTAACTGTTGCACATGTGTCTTATTAACTTGTCGGTATTGTATGCCATTATCATATTTTATCTGGAATAGATGTTCTCTATACCAAGAAGCTTTGAATACGTTGTTATTAAATCAAAGATGAAATTCCACATGACTGGAAACTCATAAATGGAATACAATACCGACAAGTTGATGAACAAGACATTTGCAACAATAGGCTTATTCGATGGTAGAAGTGTGTTGTGCAGAATAATTTGGAGATAGGCCCTTGGTATGCAGAGCATTTCGGGCAAATTAGGTCGGTTTTGTCCCAGGATGCGACCCACACCAGTCGACTAATACCCAGGTACCCATTATTATTATTACGCCCATTGTTTCCAATGCCTCAAAGGATCAGGAAGGGTTGCGAAACTTCCTGACAAGCTGAACTTATAATTGTAAATGTTATATTTTCATTACCAGTGTTTCCTTATGTGGTATTAAGAGGTGATAACAGTGAATGCAATCCTATAACGTAGGATTGAAGAGTAACTTAAATTGTACGCTTTTGTTGCTATAGTGTCTCATTAAACCAGACATGTTAACTCAGTTTTTTATTTTCCTTCAGCCACAACATGTGGGAGAGGTGCGGATTTTTAAGTTACAAAAAGGATGGCAAGAATAGGGAGGGGTAGACGTGGGCTAGGATAGAGTAGCGAGTTGTGGGTAGACAGGAAGAGGTAAGAAAGTTTACGTAGCCTGATTACTTTGGGTGGGTTTTAAGGGAGTGGTTTCTGTCACATTGAAGAGTTATCAATGGAGAAATATGTGCGACATTATATTGAGTGCAGATACATCGGCATGTAAGAAATACTACAACTGATGACTTACCACACCAGTGCTGGGGTCCTTGGCTCCATTACTGAAGGTGGAGGCCAGTGTGGAGGAGCAGGACTCATCGTAGTGGGCGTTGGAGCCATCATTGATGGCAGAGTTGATGGAGATTGTCCACATAGAGGCTGCATAGCCATCACAATTACAGTCATCATCTCCGCCCCCATCACCACTAGCCCACACATAGATGTTGCCCAACCCATTACGACCCTGCAACAGACACTCAGGATGAACTACGAGAATTATCATGTTAGATTTTGGCGATGACTACACAGTGTAATCAACGCCAGATTCAAACACTGCTAGTCTATACTAATTACATTTTTATAAATGAAATCACAAATTAAGTCTTAATATGTATGTGAAGTTAATGACTCTTTTCTTTTTTTGGTAAAGGCTACAGGGTGCTGTATTTCTAAGTATATCATAGTTCCTTGACCTGTACTCCTCGGAACGCAAACGAGAAAGATACATGATAATATACACCTGAAAAATCTTAAGTGGAACTAGTCCCAAATCTGCTACATCCCCTCCCTCCCCTAATGAAAAGCAGGGGGCACTATGGATACACTAAGAGACAACATAATAAGTGTCAGGGGCCCAGGGCAGTTCAACTGCCTCCCAGCATATGTAAGGGGGATTACCAATAGACCCCTGGCTGTCTTCAAGAGGGAGTTGAACAGGTATCTAAGTCAGTACCTCATCAATCGGGCTGTGGTTCGTACGTCTATTTGCGTGCGGCCAGCAGTAATAGCCTAGTTGATTAGGCCCTGATCCACCGTGAGGCCTGGTCATGGACCGGGCCTCGGGGGTGTTAACCCCTGGAACACCCTCCAGGTATGTGCTGAAATATTTGGAAAACTGAACATAAGTGCCAGCCAGTTTTCGTGAATTATATTCAACATTACTCTAACGTTTTGCTTATTTTCTAGATTTTTTCTTTTCACAATTTCATGCCAAAAGTTGCTGTTGTAGCTAAGTTTAATTTAAAGCCTAGTTCTAGGTATGGTATACCAGGCCACCGGCGTAACCGATAAGTATTTATTGACTGCTATTATTATTAAATATTAGCCGGTATTCTCCCGGCCTGGGCCTTTTCCAAGTGGTGGCCCGGCCTTGGCTCCCTCTTTAGGGAGTGTCTGAGACCTAAGTCTCCCATGGGAGGAGGCACAAGTACCTCCTCATCTTTGGGACCAACTGTCCCCAGGCCTAGGCACAAGCTAGGCCTCTCTGGTCTGCCATCCCCGCCCCAAGGGGGCAAATGGGAATGACAGTCTTATGAGCTAAAGGCTAGGGCTCAGGGACCTACCCTACCCTAGAAGGGTTAGGCATGGTGTCGATGTGATTGACTGCAAGACGAAGGTTGTTGAACATAATGCGAGTCTAAACTACTGCGTTCCTACGATGCTCGTTTCAGACGCTCTAACAAGCCTCTTCTTTTCCATTTACCGCTAACTTATAGCACAATAACACCGTTATTTCGCTTTTTTTTCCTTAGCAAGTTCCTTCTGTTAAGAGAAGTGTTATTGTTGCTCTCTTTCCCTGCGTATCCTGAGCGTCAGTGATCCTCGGTTTGTGTCCTCTGAAATTTCCCATCTTCGCAGTTCATTCATTAGCCTTCAGCATCAGTTTCAGTCACCTTGACTAACACTTTCACAGGCTGCCTCCTCCCACGCTATACGGATTTGTTCTCCCTTCTTTAAGTTCGCTTCACCCGTGTAAACTCTACTCTGCCTCCTCCTACATTTCCAATTGACAAAATCTCAATAAACTCTCCATCCAGACACTTAAAGTCAGTACCTGACCAACCAGGCTGTGGTTCGTACGTCAGTTTGCGTGCGGCCGGCAGTAACAGCTTGGTTGATCAGACCCTGGTCCACCATGAGGCCAGGTCTCAGACCGAGCCGCGGGGGCGTTAACCCCCGAAACCCTCCCCAGGTAAACCCCAGGTAATCCATCGGTGGATCCACCTCAGAACCTGCCAGGTGTGACCTCTCAGTTACAGGTCACTGTCAATACCATTCTGTAGTAACTGTTTCTCATTGTCACTGACCAAAATGAAAAAAAAAATGACTGATAATATAAATTTTAAAACGTCTATAAATTTTACATTAGTTTGAGTGTTTTCTCATCTATTATTAATATGATAAATCTGCTATAAATCGATGGCTGGAGTTTAAGCTTTGCTAAAAAATATATTTACATTATTCTGTTGTTGCTGAAATATAAAATATTTTGAATGTTAGATATTTTAAGAAGTTTGGGATAATGTTGAATTAGTTCTCTATAGAAAGAATGTAAGATAAAGTTAATTGTGATAAAGTACGAGTGTCTGTCACATTGATGTTGACACTTGAGAAGCTCCTGTGTCGTAACATTGATGTTGGCACTTGAGAAGCTCGTGTGTCGTAACATTGATGTTGGCACTTGAGAAGCTCCTGTGTCGTAACATTGATGTTGGCACACTTGAGAAGCTCCTGTGTCTGTCACATTGATGTTGACACTTGAGAAGCTCCTGTGTCGTAACACTGATGTTGGCACACTTGAGAAGCTCCTGTGTCTGTCACATTGATGTTGACACTTGAGAAGCTCCTGTGTCGTAACACTGATGTTGGCACACTTGAGAAGCTCCTGTGTCTGTCACATTGATGTTGACACTTGAGAAGCTCCTGTGTCTGTCACACTGATGTTGACACTTGAGAAGCTCCTGTGTCTGTCACATTGATGTTGACACTTGAGAAGCTCCTGTGTCTGTCACATTGATGTTGACACTTGAGAAGCTCCTGTGTCGTAACACTGATGTTGACACTTGAGAAGCTCCTGTGTCTGTCACACTGATGTTGACACTTGAGAAGCTCCTGTGTCTGTCACATTGATGTTGACACTTGAGAAGCTCCTGTGTCTGTCACACTGATGTTGACACTTGAGAAGCTCCTGTGTGTCACATTGATGTTGACACTTGAGAAGCTCCTGTGTCTGTCACATTGATGTTGACACTTGAAAAGCTCCTGTGTCTGTCACATTGATGTTGACACTTGAGAAGCTCCTGTGTGTCACATTGATGTTGACACTTGAGAAGCTCCTGTGTCTGTCACATTGATGTTGACACTTGAGAAGCTCCTGTGTGTCACATTCATGTTGACACTTGAGAAGCTCCTGTGTCGTAACATTGATGTTGGCACACTTGAGAAGCTCCTGTGTCTGTCACATTGATGTTGACACTTGAGAAGTTCCTGTGTCGTAACATTGATGTTGACACTTGAGAAGCTCCTGTGTCGTAACACTGATGTTGGCACTTGAGAAGCTCCTGTGTCGTAACATTGATGTTGACACTTGAGAAGCTCCTGTGTCGTAACATTGATGTTGGCACTTGAGAAGCTCCTGTGTCTGTCACATTGATGTTGACACTTGAGAAGCTCCTGTGTCTGTCACATTGATGTTGACACTTGAGAAGCTCCTGTGTCTGTCACATTGATGTTGACACTTGAAAAGCTCCTGTGTCTGTCACATTGATGTTGACACTTGAAAAGCTCCTGTGTCTGTCACATTGATGTTGACACTTGAGAAGCTCCTGTGTCGTAACATTGATGTTGACACTTGAGAAGCTCCTGTGTCGTAACATTGATGTTGACACTTGAGAAGCTCCTGTGTCGTAACATTGATGTTGACACTTGAGAAGCTCCTGTGTCGTAACATTGATGTTGACACTTGAGAAGCTCCTGTGTCGTAACATTGATGTTGACACTTGAGAAGCTCCTGTGTCGTAACACTGATGTTGGCACTTGAGAAGCTCCTGTGTCGTAACATTGATGTTGACACTTGAGAAGCTCCTGTGTCGTAACATTGATGTTGACACTTGAGAAGCTCCTGTGTCGTAACATTGATGTTGACACTTGAGAAGCTCCTGTGTCGTAACATTGATGTTGACACTTGAGAAGCTCCTGTGTCGTAACATTGATGTTGACACTTGAGAAGCTCCTGTGTCGTAACATTGATGTTGACACTTGAGAAGCTCCTGTGTCGTAGCACTGATGTTGGCACACTTGAGAAGCTCCTGTGTCGTAACACTGATGTTGGCACTTGAGAAGCTCCTGTGTCGTAACATTGATGTTGACACTTGAGAAGCTCCTGTGTCGTAACACTGATGTTGGCACTTGAGAAGCTCCTGTGTCGTAACATTGATGTTGACACTTGAGAAGCTCCTGTGTCGTAACATTGATGTTGACACTTGAGAAGCTCCTGTGTCGTAACATTGATGTTGACACTTGAGAAGCTCCTGTGTCGTAACACTGATGTTGGCACTTGAGAAGCTCCTGTGTCGTAACATTGATGTTGACACTTGAGAAGCTCCTGTGTCGTAACATTGATGTTGACACTTGAGAAGCTCCTGTGTCGTAACATTGATGTTGGCACACTTGAGAAGCTCCTGTGTCGTAACATTGATGTTGGCACACTTGAGAAGCTCCTGTGTCGTAACGTTGATGTTGACACTTGAGAAGCTCCTGTGTCGTAACATTGATGTTGGCACACTTGAGAAGCTCCTGTGTCGTAACATTGATGTTGGCACACTTGAGAAGCTCCTGTGTCGTAACATTGATGTTGACACTTGAGAAGCTCCTGTGTCGTAACACTGATGTTGACACTTGAGAAGCTCCTGTGTCGTAACATTGATGTTGACACTTGAGAAGCTCCTGTGTCGTAACATTGATGTTGGCACACTTGAGAAGCTCCTGTGTCGTAACATTGATGTTGGCACACTTGAGAAGCTACTGTGTCGTAAGGTCGATATATGGAATGTTTTAGCAACACTGGTTTACAAAATAAATATTTTTCACATTGTGTTACAACAAGTCACTCATCTTGCAACACAAATTATGAACAGTGTTCATATGAACACCTGATGCAGAGTTCAGGTCCCTGGAAGTGAAATTCACACCTGTAAAGTTTCATATATATGTAATTTCACACGAACTTGTGATACACCCCAGTGTATACACAAATACAGTTACATAGATTATCATACATAGCAGCATATGTGTAAAGAACCTGGGATAACCCAAAAAGTTATACAGAGTGACTTATTTCCATTGAAGTCCTTTAAGTATAACCCTACTGACGCTACCAACCTCATTAACGCCTCTGACAATGGCCTTCATGGTGGCATTCCTGGGACCATCTACTGTTTTGCCATCGTCAGTGGGTCCCCACGAAGCTGAGTAGATGTGAATCAGGTTTGGTTCTCGACCCATGCTGTTGGCTTCAATCAGGTCCGTCATGTATGGCTGGTCCAACATTCTGATACCTGGAAGGTGAATCAGGTGAATAGTATACAAATATGCCTCCACAGTGAAATTTATTTATCCATAAATTGTATATTATAAAACTGAGTGTCTTAAAAACAAGAGAAGAGTGTGTGTAGGTACCGGGTAAGGTGGACATTTATCTGTCGATACCAAGAAAATTCCAAATATTCCTCGGATATGAATTTGATTCTCATGTTATTTATATATTAAGGCATCAACTGAACTTGTACATAGTCACGAACTAAACACACTACATCAAAATTATATCACAATAATTTGTATGTAGTATTTATATTTTTCAGAGCCCCACAGTATTCCATCACAATCTTTCTTTTTCACTTTACTCTTTATATACATATTTAACTATCAATTTGGTCATTAAATCAAACAAATATTTTTTATACAAATTTCATCCATTGACCGCCATTATTTCCAGTATTTATTCATTATGTTCACCGTTACCAAAAACATAATTCAGTAGACATCCAAGATTACTTGAAGCTAAGTAATGTAATATAAATTTCACTTCATGATTTGAGGATTTTTTTTCCCTCTTCCCCAAGTTCTTCATGTTGGTCTGAGAGTCACCAGTATCTTCCTCTCTTTCCACACACACTGTGGTTCTTCATGTTGGTCTGAGAGTCACCAGTATCTTCCTCTCTTTCCACACACACTGTGGTTCTTCATGTTGGTCTGAGAGTCACCAGTATCTTCCTCTCTTTCCACACACACTGTGGTTCTTCATGTTGGTCTGAGAGTCACCAGTATCTTCCTCTCTTTCCACACACACTGTGGTTCTTCATGTTGGTCTGAGAGTCACCAGTATCTTCCTCTCTTTCCACACACACTGTGGTTCTTCATGTTGGTCTGAGAGTCACCAGTATCTTCCTCTCTTTCCACACACACTGTGGTTCTTCATGTTGGTCTGAGAGTCACCAGTATCTTCCTCTCTTTCCACACACACTGTGGTTCTTCATGTTGGTCTGAGAGTCACCAGTATCTTCCTCTCTTTCCACACACACTGTGGTTCTTCATGTTGGTCTGAGAGTCACCAGTATCTTCCTCTCTTTCCACACACACTGTGGTTCTTCATGTTGGTCTGAGAGTCACCAGTATCTTCCTCTCTTTCCACACACACTGTGGTTCTTCATGTTGGTCTGAGAGTCACCAGTATCTTCCTCTCTTTCCACACACACTGTGGTTCTTCATGTTGGTCTGAGAGTCACACAACAGTCCATCTTTCTTTCCCTCGACACACTGTGCTGCCTCATTCAGCTTTTATCAACTTCATGTCATTTTTCTTCTGTGCCACCATTACAATTATATTATTCTAATTTTTTATTTGAAATTACAAACCGCACATTGTGTAGCTACCCTGGTATATCCATTTTACAAGGTTAGATCAACATATCTTTGCATGTGGCTAACACATCCCCTCACTATGGTTTCCAGGTCATATCCCATCAAACAGGAGTTTTAAAACGTACCAAATACCACTATCACCGTCCATCTCATTTTCTTTCACCTTATTCTCCTACAGAGGTACATGATGGGTCCAGGGACTCGGCCATAAAGTTTTGATAGCTGAACAAGTTAAACTAGTAATGAACTATTTACATGTATAAATCCGGTCACAATCATAATGAATTATTTATACAGATATTAATTTGGTCACTCTTATCCCTTCGAGCTGAGTTTTCTCCTCAATCATTACTCGTGTTTCATCCAGTGTTCACTGTTAAGTGTCCCCAGCGTCATCAACTGTTGGGTGGTATCAGCTTGTGTTATTTACACTAGCTCATTGTAGCATTCTGCTTCTCATTGGTCCATTGATTTCTCCTTGTTGAATCCCAAGCTTAAGCTATGTTCTACTAGCGTCTCTAATTACAAATATCTCCGGCCATTATAGACCTTAAAGACGACACTAGTATGCCAGGCCATTATAGACCTTAAGGACGATGGCAATCAAATATTCCTCCAAATATAATTCTATACAACTGTTGTCACTTCCTAACGCAATGTTACAATGCATCTGTCTTTACCAGTACACTAAGCAGCTGTAAATCCTAAACACATTTATATAAAAAAGTAATCCCCTGCAGTTCTTAATTCACTTTTGCTTCACAAAATGTATTTTTGTCATGTTATGAGTAATTGTATATATAAAAAATTATATGAAAAACTCATTACAGTCATTAACAAACTGGCATTGAACAAATGAAGAATAACTGACACAGAAGCAGTGCTAGCAGTGGGTCGTGCCTCCCGGCCAGAAGAGGGTCGTACCTCCCGGCCAGAAGAGGGTCGTACCTCCCTGTCAGAAGAGGGTCGTACCTACCTGCTAGCAGTGGGTCTTACCTACCTACCAGATTCGTACCTACCTGCTACCAGTGAGTTGTACGCCACACCGACCCCACACACACCATTGTCTCTCGCTGCTGACACCTCGCCGGCGCACCTCGTCCCGTGGCTGAGAAATAATGTTGAGAATATTAAGATGAGCCACGTATATACATTACAAACTATCTCAGTGTTGAGAATAATAAGTTGAGCTACACGTATATACATTACAAATTATCGTAATGTTGAGAATAAGATGAGCTACACGTATATACTTTACAAATTATCGTAATGTTGAGAATAAGATGAGCTACACGTATATACTTTACAAATTATCGTAATGTTGAGAATAAGATGAGCTACACGTATATACATTACAATCTTCCTCTCACTCAGCCTCCGCCTATCAGCACCAAATGCAAGAAATCACGATGACTTTTTTGGACTTGCGTTGACCTCAAGCTCGGGACAATACAGCGACTGGGGTCATATTTGTAAAAGAACCACCACAGCATTTCCTGGACACTGCAAGTGTCTTAAGGGTTTACCACTTCCCGTGATAACAGCAACAACAACAACAAATCAACAAAACTCAGAGATATCTGTGTATAATTTTTTGGGATTAAAATAAACAGGTCATATGTAGCCTTAATGACCTTTCGTGTATTCAATGATTTTAAACCCAATTAATCAAACCAACGTAATAATGCACCAGCTAAATAGGCATAAATTAATCAGTTACATATAGGGCAAACAGGAAGAAATTTAATGACTAGAGCAGATGAATATAATATAGCAAATGCCAGTGGGGAATCAAGTGCACAAGATCCTCTCTCCCCAAGGATCCTCATTATGATATAATCAATAATATTATTACAGTTCCCATCAAACAGTTGTGTTCCTCCCTGAGATCATTAAAAGGAGGGAAGGAGAGGTGATATCAACCATAATGGTCATTATCCATTCATTTCATCAAGAAATGTCTCATCTCTAAGGGGGTGGAGAAATGTTACTAATTGCTCGGTGTTATTAAAATTCTTTTATAGTCAATACACGAGAAATAAACAGTTTAGCATCAGTAACACTGGAAGATTTGTGACTTTATACACAAAATATAGTTGTGACCCATTATGAAAAAAATTACCAAAAAATTCCCTCTTAATAATGACTGATGATGGTTTACAGTTGTCTGTCAGGCGGGACTGATCCCCTGGATTAAAATATTATTTTGTCTGTACAGAGTACGTAGTCAATTTCACTACGAAATTCAACACTGATACCATAGAGATTACTAGCGGTGAGTTGCATAGAAGCTAGATATGTAATACTAGCAGTGAGTTACATGGAAGCTAAATATGTAGTGCTAGTAGTGAGTTACATAGAAGCTAGATATGCAATGCTACAAACACTGAAGACTGAACACCACCAACATAGCTCTGTTGCTGTAACTACAATGAAGACTGAACACCACCAACATAGCTCTGCTGCTGTAACTACAATAAAGACTGAACACCACCAACATAGCTCTGCTGCTGTAACTACAATGAAGACTGAACACCACCAACATAGCTCTGTTGCTGTAACTACAATGAAGACTGAACACCACCAACATAGCTCTGCTGCTGTAACTACAATAAAGACTGAACACCACCAACATAGCTCTGCTGCTGTAACTACAATGAAGACTGAACACCACCAACATAGCTCTGTTGCTGTAACTACAATGAAGACTGAACACCACCAACATAGCTCTGCTGCTGTAACTACAATGAAGACTGAACACCACCAACATAGCTCTGCTGCTGTAACTACAATGAAGACTGAACACCACCAACATAGCTCTGCTGCTGTAACTACAATGAAGACTGAACACCACCAACATAGCTCTGCTGCTGTAACTACAATGAAGACTGAACACCACCAACATAGCTCTGTTGCTGTAACTACAATGAAGACTGAACACCACCAACATAGCTCTGCTGCTGTAACTACAATGAAGACTGTAGATGATTGGTTCACAGAACCGACATGTTGATAAATTAGACATATGGGCAACTCTTGGGTATCTTTATTAATAAAGATACCCAAGAGTTGCACATGTGTCTAATTTATCAACATGTTAGGTAAGACACATATGCAACAGTTAGGTATCTTTATTTTGAAACGTTTCGCCTACACAGTAGGCTTCTTCAGTCGAGTACAGAAAAGTTGATAGAAGCAGAAGAGACTTGAAGACGATGTAATCAGTCCACCACCCTTAAAGTTTTGAGGTGGTCAGTCCCTCAGTCTGGAGAAGAGCATTGTTCCATAGTCTGAAACAATATGGAGTTGAAGTGACAGGATGGAGCCTTATATAGCGCCAGGAGGTGAGACGTAGGTCACTAGTAGAAGTAAGAACGCAGATGTTGGGAGGTCAGGTCCCTCTCAAATCCAGCCGTTCTCACTAGTAGAGGTTGTCGAAGTTGATTGCAGGTCTGTACCAATATACCCTTGTGTTTCAGACTATGGAACAATGCTCTTCTCCAGACTGAGGGACTGACCACCTCAAAACTTTAAGGGTGATGGACTGATTACATCGTCTTCAAGTCTCTTCTGCTTCTATCAACTTTTCTGTACTCGACTGAAGAAGCCTACTGTGTAGGCGAAACGTTTCGAAATAAAGATACCTAACTGTTGCATATGTGTCTTACCTAACAGCCTGTCGGTATTTTATACCATTTTAATGTTCAATCTGTCAGACACTGCAACACAAGGGTATCTTGCTACAGACCTGCAATCAACTTCGACAACCTCTACTAGTGAGAACGGCTGGATTTGAGAGGGACCTGACCTCCTAACATCTGCATTCTTACTTCTACTAGTGACCTACGTCTCACCTCCTGGCGCTATATAAGGCTCCATCCTGTCACTTCAACTCCATATTGTTTCAGACTATGGAACAATGCTCTTCTCCAGACTAAGGGACTGACCACCTCAAAACTTTAAGGGTGATGGACTGATTACATCGTCTTCAAGTCTCTTCTGCTTCTATCAACTTTTCTGTACTCGACTGAAGAAGCCTACTGTGTAGGCGAAATGTTTCGAAATAAAGATACCTAACTGTTGCATATGTGTCTTACCTAACAACCTGTCGGTATTTTATACCATTTTAATGTTCAATTTATCAACATGTCGGTTCTGTGAACCAATCATCTACAATCCTGTCAGACACTGCAACTTCTTGGGATCTTAATACGTGGGAATTCTTCGCTTGCCTAACCCTTGGGCACGACCTACTTCCACATTGGGCAAATGTGACACCACCTACAACTGCTGCACCTCTCCTGCCTACGGTTTATAAGCTGCTTCTCCGCTCACCACCAACATAGCTCTGCTACTGTAACTACAATGAAGACTGAACACCAAAATAGCTCTGCTACTGTAATTACAATGAAGACTGAACACCACCAACATAGCTCTGCTGCTGTAACTACAAACAAGTAGATAATCAAATGCAGCTATGTTAGGCAGTGCCAGGTCGACACTGGTGTTGAGACGGTTCGTGGAGATATGATGGAGCTAAACACACTTGTTGCATATAAACACATATTAGCAGAGTGTGAGCAGGGAACCCAGCCTAACCGTGTTGCCTTGTTGTAGTCCTATGCGTGCCCACACATTCAACCACAAGGATAAGCGCCACTAATGCCATCTTGGCACTGGTGGCCCCACATTTCACCTTAAGGTCAATATCAACATCCCTAAAATCGCGTAAGCAGATTAGGTCAGATAACTGATGGTTATCTGTGGTCTCAGCTGCTGGCAGAGTTTTCTTTCGCCTGCTCTTAGTTCACTTATTAGCTATGATCCTTTCTTGTGGTGGCACCACTGTCTCTGTCACATGGAAGGTGTCGTTGGGTGGCGTGTGTGTGTAGTCACCTATCTGTGGTTCCAGGGGTCGACTCGTATTTCCCGGCCCAGCCTCTTCGCTGGTCGCTACTAGGTCTACTCTCTCCCCCCACGACTGTTCCACTTTGTGTGTGTGTGTGTGTGTGTGTGTGTGTGTGTGTTCGTTCCTGAACCTTTACAAGGTTTAGAAACTATCTCATCTACCTGAAGATGCCCAGGAGCTATAGGTCAACTCCCTCAAGAGGCCTAGGAACCGCAGCTTAGCCTCAAAAAAAGCAGCAGCTGCAATTCACAGCTTTCCAGACGCCCAGGAGCTGTAGCTCAAAACACTCAAAATCTCGAAATTTTAGGTGAACACCGTAAAGAGATAACCCAGGAACTGTAGTTCAACCCGTCCAAACAAAAATCCTTGAAGTTAATGTATAAGGAATCAAATCTTACGCTAAAACTCTTTAACAAACACAAAAACACCTGAACTAGGGATTCCAACCCTCCAGAAACTCGCTATCTGGAATTCAATCCTGTTAGAAACCTCTAAACTTTTAGACATACGTAACATCACACTGAAGACAACCATTTTAGCGCTGTGTGCTCACCCTTTCCAGAAAGACATAAATATTGATTGCCAGATGCTGACAGAGGAACAGGGAAACGGGGATTAATGGCTTATAGGGAAGGGGAAAGTGGCGGTGTTAGTCTTGCAACTTGGGAACACAAACCAATATAAATCAACCTTGTCAAATTAGACATATGCAACACTGGAAATCTTTATTGTGGAAATTTTTCGCCATACATTGGCTTCGGTAGTACAAAACTAAGAAGAATAGCGAGGATCAGGAGAAGATTGAGGTAATCGGTCTCTCAGCCAATGCAATCAGTTCATCAATCTGGACAAGAATGCAAGACTGAGGGACTGATTACATCGATTCCAGCCTAAGGGACTGATTACTTCAATCTCCTCCTGATCTTCACTGTGTCGAAACGTCTCCACAGTAAAGATACCCAAGTATTGCACATATGTCTAATATGTCAATCTGTCGGATCTCTAAACCATTTATCTACGTAAGTCGACCTTGACGAAATTCACGATGTTTTTCCCCATAGACATATATATCTAGACAGAAAATTTTGTTGATCAAAAGCAAATATTTAAAATATGTAATGCCGAGATTATTAAATAAAAAGTTTAATATATCAAATATTTAAAAAAATCCTAAAAAAGCTTAAACTTTGATGTAGTTTGTCTATAGAGTTTTTGTACCTTCGAAAAAGACGTCAAAACGCCATATAGGAAGTATATATCTTAAGGAATTTATTGTATATACATATAAATTTTTTTTTTTTACTTTCAGTTTGAAGTGAGAGAACCCAGAGTATCAGAAGAAAAGTGTAGTGAATTTTGTGCAGGTCTGTCAGTTCGTCAGTGTTCCAGAAGGTCCAGCACATCTCAGTTCGTCAGTGTTCCAGAAGGCCCAGCACATCTCAGTTCGTCAGTGTTCCAGAAGGCCCAGCACATCTCAGTTCGTCAGTGTTCCAGAAGGTCCAGCACATCTCAGTTCGTCAGCGTTCCAGAAGGTCCAGCACATCTCAGTTCGTCAGTGTTCCAGAAGGTCCAGCACATCTCTGTTCGTCAGTGTTCCAGAAGGTCCAGCACATCTCAGTTCGTCAGTGTTCCAGAAGGTCCAGCACATCTCAGTTCGTCAGTGTTCCAGAAGGTCCAGCACATCTCAGTTCGTCAGCGTTCCAGAAGGTCCAGCACATCTCAGTTCGTCAGTGTTCCAGAAGGTCCAGCACATCTCAGTTCGTCAGTGTTCCAGAAGGTCCAGCACATCTCAGTTCGTCAGTGTTCCAGAAGGTCCAGCACATCTCAGTTCGTCAGTGTTCCAGAAGGTCCAGCACATCTCAGTTCGTCAGTGCTCCAGATGGTCCAGCACATCCCAGGTCGTCAGTGTTCCAGAAGGCCCAGCATGTGGAAAACTTTTCTCTAGGAGGGGGGGTATCAGCCCCCTTTAGCCCTGATGGGCCCAGCCCTCTCAGAAGGGGCAAGCATATTGTTTACTTCCACATCTAGTAATTACAAACAAATGTTTAACCAGCGTGTACCAGTTACGGGTCGTGCGACTCCTTGCAAGAGACCAGTGTTGCAAAATAGTGTAGTTTAATGAGAAAACCAATCTCTTACCTTAGCAGGACAATTAAGGAAAATCCTGCACCCACTTTATTAACATGTTAAAGAGTGTATATTGTTGTTTATGCCCAGACAGTAAGAATCAAGCATTCTGCTTTGCTTCATGGTGGAAGTTTGGCAAGCAGGGGAAATATGCTACGTCAGCTTTTCCTTTGTAGCTGGGGGCAAGCGAAGTGCGCGAGGAGAGCCTTAGCCCAGCACATCCCAGTTCGTCAGCGTTCCAGAAGGCCCAGCACATCCCAGTTCGTCAGTGTTCCAGACGGCCCAGCACTTCCCACAAACTAGATTCCAAATTTACAAGTAGGAACCGACAATGCTCAACCCAAACTTCGTTTTACTAAGATCCTCAACTACTGAACGTTAGAAGTCAACTGAGAGAGACCTCAACTTATCGCTCGACGATCTACAGAAGCAGCAGCAGCAGCTAAGATATCACTAGATATATTTATAATAGAAAGATATCTAGCGATATCTTTTCATTATAAAGAGGTGTCTTAATTTAGATACTGTACAGATACAGTGTCGCTACGTGTACAAGCGCCACAGACTGGAAGGTGAAAAATGAAATGAAAGAGTTACTGGTGCAGACCGTCGTAATATTTCCCTTAAAGTTATTCTGGCAGCTAAACAAAAACATCTAAGATTAAAAGAGGACACTTGAAGCATTTTTACTGGCTGCATTTCGATCCTAGGATCATGGTCACTTTAAATCTGGAGTAAATAAGGTCCCAGGACCGAAGGGTATCAATAAAGATGTCTTAAGTAACTCACACTTGTGTCCTTTCATCCACATTGTAGTATTGCTATACTTTCTGCCTTCACAAAACATCTTCACACAGTCTGAATAAGTGATTTAGAAAACTGACAAGTTGATAAATGAACAGTATTAAGGAAACGTTTCGCCACACAGTGCCATCATCAGTCCTAAACAAAGAAGAATGCTGAAGATCAGAAGGGGTTTGAAGTAATCAGTCCCTCAGTATTTTCAAGATTGATGGACTGATTACATAGACTCCAGGCTGAGGGATTGATTACCTCAAACTCCTTCAGATCTTCACCATTCTTCTTTGTTTAGGACTGATGAAGCCACTGCGTGGCAAAAAGTGTCCTCAATAAACATACCCAAAAACTAAACGTGTCTAATTCATAACTATAATCTCTCCAATCATAGAGCTCTAGATATGTGTGTGACTGTAGAATCCTCTTAATTAAACAGAGCGTTCCCTAATTATGAAAGAGTTGAATGCTCTTTTCTGCTCGTCATTCGTTCAACTTCAGGCTGTTACAATATTCTTTTTCTTGTCGCAGTTCGAGTCCCCAGTTTCTTATCTGTCAGTGGAGAGAGGCTTCTAAAGGCACTTGCTGGAGACACTCTTAATTGCCAATTCCATTACTTCCTTAAGTGAAGATCACCAACTCTTTATTTTCATTTTAGCCAAAGACTGCAAACATTTACATGCAGCCAGAAAGATCAACTGTAAAGCCGCTCCAGTGTAGAAATCTCACAACGCAGGCATTCACTTCACGGAGATTAGAATGCCG